TGGTTTAACTTCTAGCCAACTGACCTCCTATTGACTTTTTCGACGATGTAAAAGTACATTTTTTTTTTGTTATACCTCCCCTAATGGATTAGCACTCCCAGATACCACCCCATATTACCAAATTCCACAAAATTTGATGCATTAACAATTTGATCCTTGGTAGCTTTGTCAATGATTTTGGAAAGTAAGATATTGGATTTCTTTTAACTTACTTTTTGACTTAAAATAAGGCAAAATCCTCAAGACACTAAAGGATGCACTAAACCTACTCTAGGCAAGCTTGTCCAAACATGAGGAGATTGTCAGCAAACATTAAGTGCAAAATCTTATTGCCTTCTTTGACTCTGGCCTCAATAACCAAGGATAGCTTGTCCATACAGAGCACTAAAATTTAAGGGGATAAAGGGTCCCCTTGTTTGATGCCCCTGCTCAGATTAAATTCTATGTAATTCCTCCATTCCAAAGAACATTAAAGAAAATAAAGGAGATACGTCTCATGATAACCTCAATAAGATCATAGTGAAAACCCACCTCCATAAGCACTTTTTTAATAAAAGGCCATCACAATCTATCATGAGCCTTCTTCTAGTCAACCTTTATGGTAAAGAAACCCCTCGTTCCATGCATTTTTCTCATTATGCGGAAGAATACTCTAGTAGTAATGATGATGTTATGTTGAATATGTCTTCCTAGTGCAAAGCTAGATTGGAAAGAGGACACAATCTTAGAAAGAACAAGCTTGATTCTATTGGCCATGATTTTGGTTATTCCATTATAGATGGCATTGCATAATGAAATGGGCCTGAAGGAAGAAATCCTCTTTAATCTATCCACCTTAGGAATTAGCACCAAGAAAGTACTATTCACTATCCTTACATCCACCCTATTCTCCAAAATTTTTCTCACCAAGTCTGTGACCTATTTACCCACAATTGGCCACGAGAGTTGAAAGAATGAAGTTGGGAATCGACTGGGCCTAGGGCCTTAAGGGGGCCATCAAATGAAAGGTTGATCTAATCTCCTCATCAATGGGTGGGCTGGAAATTTGTTCCAAATCATTTGGATTAAGAGAAGGAATTGGAAGGGGGGGGGGGCAAGTAAGGTGTACCTTGACCGGGATCCTCCTTCGAGAAGAGCCTCACGAAGAAGTTGACAATTATATGTTGTAGGCCATACTTCCTCTTGACCACGAAAATCTTGTTACGATGCCTCCTATTGATGGTCTTGAAATGGTAGTACCTAGTGTTCTTGTCTCCTTTGTTAATCCATCTTGCCTTGGGTTTTTGATGCCATAAAACCTGTTCTTTTTCCAAGACCTGTTCAACTATCTGTTGAGGCTCTTTTCCAACTCTTCTAGAGTATGTCTATTCCTAAGGCAGGCTACTAGCCTCCTTTGGATGCCTGAAAGCCTAGCCAAAAGAATCCTTTTCCTGCTATGGATGTTGTCAAAAACCTCCCTGTTCCAATCCCTGAGGGACTGAGAAGTATACTCGATACTGGTTATAAGGTCCTTGTCCCTCTTCCAAGTGGTCCTAACACAGTTATCAAATCCTCATGAAAGGTCCAAGGCTGCTCAAATCTGAAAGGCCTGCTCAAAGGACCTAACTAAACACCCTGGGGACAGACTGGAGTCGGGGGGTGATCTAAAGACTAGATTCTTTGAAGAACTTTAACCACTTAATCCTCCAGCTGGGATTGGCTAGCACCCTATCCAACTCCTCGAAAACTCTATCCCGACCCTCAACTTTTAGACCCCTCCAGGTGAATTTACTCCCAAAAGCCCCCTGGTAAATAAGCCTGGCTTTATTGATTCTATCTTGGAAAAAGTTAGCCGTCCGCCATTTGAAGCTTCCTCCACATTTCTTCTCCTCATCAGGAGTGAGGATGTCGTTGAAATCACCGACCACCATCCAATTCCTATCCATATTAGCAGCTAAATTCTCTAATTTTGCCCACAGGTCTCTCTTCAATTCCTCTTTTGGGCTGGCATAAACAATTGCGAAAAACTATTTCCTTCCTTTATTAACAGAAATCTCTGCATGAACGAACTGTTGTTCGTTAACGAGTGATTTAGCGTTGACCGAATGCTTATTCCACGCCATAAAGATACCACCTGCAAAACCTCCCCCTTGGGGCCATGTTTGCCCTCGAAACCCAAACGATCAAAGGTTCCAATAAGTCTTTTGGGGCGGACTCGAAGTTCCATACGACCAACTCAACTTTATTGCCCTAAAAATAATTTAATATTCCTATAGAGAGCTTTACTTGCCACGCCTCGCACATTGCAAGTTAGAAAATTTTGAATGTCCCGATCCATACGACAAAAGGTTGGATAAAGGAAGGGTCACCTCAAATTATTCCACAGCCATTCTTGAAGAGGGTTCAACCACACTTCTGGGCAGTTCTCACCAGCATGGCCGAACCGACCACACTACAAACAGAGGGAGGGAAGACCCTCGTACTCTGTATATACGTCCCCTGATTTTGAGAATACCCAGCACGGGTTTGGACAGATCGAATTCAACGCAAACCCGGGGGTATTTTCCTCTGGTCCGAGTGTTGTTGAATCTATCCTAACCGTTGCTCCGATCCTGTTATCGAGAATCTAATTTCCTCCCAAAGATGAATTTTGGGCAAAGATGCTCTCCCAGTTTTTCTTCCACCATGGACCAACCACCTCCCCAGTGGCTTCTTCTCCCTCCTCTTTCTCTGACGCCTGCTCCTCATCTGACCAAAATGCATTTGTCTCACTGCCCGAGCCGTCATTATCTGAATAAGAGCCCTCCATCAGAGAGTCCCTTTAAGTCTTCCTCGCCGGACTATACTCCCTCTGTTTAGGAATGTCATCGCCTCCCAACTGATAAGCTTTCTCAGTCACTGATTCTGGAGTTGGTTCCATTTCTTCTATCCCAATTTCATAAACTCCACTTCTGCATTTTCTTTGTGCTTCTCCTCACCAGATCTTCCTCTTCAGCTGTGATGGTCGTAGGGACACGTTTTCCGGCATGGCTCCAAGGCAACTGACTTTCCTTTTAATTCTATGGCTTTCACTTCAGGTAGCACTGCATCAACTGATCTGGGTCCGGGTTTGATGAAATACTGTTGGACTCCTCGCAACTTCTCCATTTCTTTTGGCCATAATAATTATTAATGATATATTTTTTAATACGCGCATTTACCTATAATCAGTGGAGAATTATTTTTATTATCAGATTAATACTTTTAAAATATTGTAAAAATATTTAAATAGACAAAACTATTCACTACTTTTTCTATTATATTAATATTTTAAATATTACATAAAAATTTAAATAGAGCCCATGAAAATATATGGACGGTCCAAATGAAGGCCATAGAGATCAACCTTTGCCTAACCTTCTTGGATGCCTTGGGTTATTACTTGGCGGAGATTTTTAACGTGGACTTTTATTATATCAATGAATTAATTGCTTTGGAGATCTGGTTTTTTAATATTTGGAAAATTTCTGAAAATTCTATTTTCAAACTTTAAAAGAGTTCTAGTGAAAAATATACTAAATATTTTGGAGATTAAGTGTTGATGTTGAATATGTTGTCAATGCAAAATACTTATTTTCATCATGTTTTGGGTCAAAAGAAAAGAAAGTGCTAAGTTAATGAGGTTAAGAATGGAAAACTAGAAGCAGTGAGCTTGTATTGTGGTTAATGTTTTAAAATCCAGACTGATGATCAAACTGATAAGATTATCGGGTTATGATTCAACCAATTTAACTGTCAATCGAACTAGTTGATAATAAAAAAAATTAAAAATGTAATAAATTCAATATAGTCTATCTGCATATTTTTGTATAAATTTGGTATAATACTCAAGATTATAGGTGATATAGTAACATTAATATATTTTTTATTATTATCTATTTATTTCAAAAATAACAGTGTATATATATACATATATAATTTTAATTACAAATTTTAAGAAATAATTTTTTTTGAAAATCTAATTTTTACTATTTTTATATTTTTTTAATTTTTTAATATTTAAATTAAATAAAATATATTGTAAAAATTATTAAAAATAGTTTTTCTAAAATTTTTTTACAGCTAGAGGGAGGGAGGGTTTGGGGAAATTTTGAACCAATGGGGGGGTGGGTGGGCAGGGAGGGGGAGGGGGGGAGAGAGAGAGAGGGAGAGGGAGGGGAGAGGTTTGAAAATTTTTAAACCAAAAATTGGGGGGAGGGGGTGGGGGGCACAGGGGAGGGATGGTTTTTGAACCGGTTTTTAAAAATTAGTAAAAATTAGTCGATTTTATCATATCACCTATAATCTTGAGTATTATACCAAATTTAATTAAAAATATGGAGAGAGGTTATATTAAATTTATTACATTTTTACTTTTAAAGTATTATTTAAACTGTTTATCAGGCTAGTTTACGGTCGAACCGACCAGTCACGTATGGATTTTAAAAGATTGCTCGGCCTAGCTGCTGATGAAACCCTTCTTCCCTGCATAGCTGGAAGTTTATTTACAGTTTTGTCCAAGAACTCTGTGGTTTGAATCGCTTTATTGCACATAGGTGATGCTTGTAAATCACAACTTTTCTGCATATATAAACACAATTTTTTAAATTTAAAGTTTTAAATTGTAAATATGATTTAATTAATTTTTTAAATTTTTAATGAAAAATTTATGATGCTGGTTCAACAAATATGTGGGTATTATTCAAACTCTGAATTCTAATTTTAAGATAACTTCTAATCTAATTGGATAATCTCTTAAAATCAAAATATATATTTTTTAAGATAAGTCCTAATATATGGATTACATCCCAGTCCCGGGAAATTTCGTTGGAACTACGGGAATTGGCGGGTTTTTTTTATAGATAAATCCTTTGCACCTCCTACGTCGCTCTTGTTCGCCTTGGTTCATTGCTCCGCCGAAGGCAGTCTTTTATTCTCTTCTCTTTTCACCTCCGACCCAAACAGAATCCAGAAAAAAAGTTTGTAACTGGATCATAGAAGGAATGGGGCGTCGAAGAGTAGAAATTAAGCGAATCGAGAATAAGGCGAGGAGGCAAACAACGTTCACGAAGCGCCGAGACGGGCTGTTCAAGAAGGTCGGTGAACTCTGCCGACTATGCAGCGCCGAAGCCGCCGTAATAACTATCTCCGAGGCCGGCAACGCCTTCACTTCCGGACGCCCTTCGCTGGAGTCCATCATTGACCGCTACCTGTCGGAAACCTCGGAGACGGGCGAGGGCGCGGGCGCGGAAGCGGCGATTCGAGACAAGGAAAGAAAGCGACAGCTTCAGGAGAGGTATGAGAAGGCTGTGGCGACCTTTGAGACCGAGGTGAAGCGAAACGAGATCTTAGACAAGGCGCTGAATTGGGTTGAGAAAGAAAGACGCCCTTTAGATAAGGCGCCCTTGAGTTGTGAGGAGTTCAAGCAACTTTCTGCTATTTGTGGAAAGATTATACAGGATTTGCAGTAGGTTAGGCTTCTTGTTTTTCCGATTACTTCTTTTTCCTTTTCGCAATAAAATAAAATTCCTAGGAAAATTTTTGAATTTTATTGCTTTTACTAGATTTAGTCTTCAATTGTTCATAGAAAAATTTGGAATGTTGCATAGGAGATCTTTAGATTTTAAATTACCGCTGTCAGCTAAAATCGGAGAATCGTTAGTTCGGCGAGGTTGGACTTCAGATTTCACCCCTTATGGACAATTCCCAAATTCTTTGTCGTTTGTTATCCAAAGGATAGTGAGAATTCGCCGGAACGATGTGACTGATCCAAGATTCCGGCCACTTTGGGTAACCGTGGATGTTGGTTATCGTGGTAGTTTTGGATTTGTTTTTCGGATTCTATTCTTGCCAACCGGGATGATCTCACTTAGAAGTCGCCGGGATTTGTAATTGATCCAAATCAAAAAGACAACAACTCACTTATTTCCAATATACCCTAACCCTCCGAAGAAAGGAAACAAGAAAAACAAGACACAAACACACACACACACACACGCAAGAAGTACAGAGTCCAACGTTCCAAGGGCTCGTTTATTTCTAGATAACTAAAAGTACGGTTATGTCACAGTTTAAACCCGGACTTGTGACTGGCACTAAGCTCACAGACTCTAGTCAGTCTCAAAACTATTTTACATGATTAAACTACGGTAGAAAAATATATGTATAGAAAGGGTATTATTACTCACAGTATAGAAATTAAACCAGAAAGAAGTCCCAGTCACCCTCACTTGACTCACTGGTCTGAGTGCACCTCTTCAACTGTATCTATAGTCAAAATCACACAAGAATATCACCAATACCAAAACCAGCATAAGAAACGAGCTTAGTAGCCCAAATTGGGCTCAAATCCCATCCCGGCACTTTAGTACACATCCCAAGGCACCATAACCTATCATCGGGATCTACACGACTCACTAATACACAACAATTTTACCTGACAACCCTCGACAATGGTGAACCAGCCTTCAAAACCCTTGAACCATAATGAATCGACCTCCAAAAACCCTCGAACTAGCCTAAATCAGCCTAAAAGTACATCAAACTAAATTGATCTAGTCACGAAACCCTCAAAATCAAATTTAGAAGGCCTATAAACCTTCAGAACCAGTCTAAATTGATCAAGAATGGCCCAAAATAAGGTTTAACTAGCTATTTACCCTTGAACCAACTTGAACCAAGTCGGTTCAATCAAAAACACTAAATTTTCGGTCGAACCAGACCTTCCCAAACCCTCAGACCAACTCGGTCCAATAGATCTTTTCTTCCAGATTCCAGAACCGGTTTAACTTCCCAATTCTGAGTTTGTTTGACCACTGAACCGACAGGTCAAAACCACTGGCCGGTTTAGTCAACCCTCCTCTTTTTTTTAATTCTCTAGGCGGGCCCACAGGACCCCTTGACCTGACTGGCCAAGTCTGGGCCTAATGGCCCGAACCAGCATGACGTGGGGACTCAGATAATCCGGGTCCTTTCGTTTTTACCTGGTTGCCCGGGTTGTTAGACCCAGTTGCAGAAACTGGGTCTGTAATGACCCAGAACTGGAAAAAAAATTTTAAAAAATGGAAAAAAATTCATAGAACCACTTACCTCGATCGATTTGCCCTCCGAAACCACAAAAACCCAACCAACTGATCCTCAATGAAGCCTTTAATCGGATTAAAAATCGATCGAAAACTCGAAATTTCCCAGAAATTCGTCGTGGGTCACAGATGAAACGGATGGCAAATAAAATGCTTGATTCCCTCTCCAAACTCACTCAATCTTCACATTTGAGAAAGGATTTTTGCTCTCCTCTTAAAGATGCACGCAACGGTGTGTATGATCTACAAAAATCTTCAAACGTCAAGGCGGATTTGGTGTCAAAAGTTTCAGCGTCCTATCAGGCTTAAACTTTCTGTTTCCTTTAGATCTAGTCCATCAACTTTGATTTCCTTCAATTTAGTCCCTGACAGTTTCAACTGAGTCCCGAACTTTCTAGATTTTCCAATCAGCCCCCAAACTTTTAATTTTCACAATTAGGCCCCTAATTAAATTAATTCAATTAAATTCTTATATAAATTTTAATTTGGGTTATTAAAAATTTGGGTTGGACTAATAGTCCAATCTCAATATGTTTCTGATATTTAATTTTAACAACTATTTTCTAATTTGGTGAAACTATTAGTGTTATATTTAGTTACAAATTTATAATGTAATATTGGATAAAAATTAAATTATCTATCTCTAAAATAAATTTACTATATAAACCATTTAT